CAACCTTAGCCATCCACTTCAGCCAGCCAACCTTAGCCATCCACTTCAACCAGCCAACCTTAGCCATCCACTTCAGTCAGCCAACCTTAGCCATCCACTTCAGCCAGTCAACCTTAGCCATCCACTTCAGCCAGCCAACCTTAGCCATCCACTTCAGCCAGCCAACCTTAGCCATCCACTTCAGCCAGCCAACCTTAGACATCCACTTCAGCCAGCCAGCCTTAGCCATCCACTTCAGCCAGCCAACCTTAGCCATCCACTTTAGCCAGCCAACCTTAGCCATCCACTTCAGCCAGCCAACCTTAGCCATCCACTTCAGCCAGCCAACCTTAGCCATCCACTTCAACCAGCCAACCTTAGCCATCCACTTCAGCCAGCCAACCTTAGCCATCCACTTCAGCCAGCCAACCTTAACCATCCACTTCAGCCAGCCAACCCCAGCCATCCACTACAACCTACGAACCCCAGCCCTTTACTTCATCCACCTCATCTTATGCCTTATCTTATGTCAAGCTACTTAAACAACAACAACCAGAATTTAAGAACATAATATTTAATATTACCTGGGACTACAAGAATAGGGATAATACGAGAAAAGTCTCCAATTTTCTTTCTGTCGATTATAATGGACTTAAGGAACACTTGTTTAATCTCGGCTGGAGTAATCTAGCTAATGATTTTATAATTACGATAAGGCACCTAAATTCCTGGGAACGGTTGAAGGTCCTTGATCTGTATTTCCTGGAACGCAGGCGAGAGAGATACATGATAATATACACTTGGAAGGTCCTGGAGGGATTAGTACCAAACCTGCACACGAAAATCACTCCCAGTGAAAGCAAAAGACTCGGTAGGAGATGCATCATTCCTCTGATGAAAAGCAGGGGGCGCCACAAATACACTGAGAGACAACACAATAGGTGTCTGGGGCCCAAGACTGTTCAACTGTCTCCCAGCATACAAAGGATATTACCAATAGACCCTTGGCTGTCTTGAAGAAGGCACTGGACAGGCATCTAAAGTCAGTACCTGACCAACCGGGCTGTGGTTCATACATCAGTTTGCGTGCTGCCGGCAGTAACAGCCTGGTTGATGAGACCCTGTTCCACCATGAGGCCTGAACTCATACCGAGCCGCGGGGGCGTTCATCCCCGAAACTTTCTCCAGGTAAACTCCAGGTAAGCATTTGAGGCAGTAATCAGGAAGGGTTGTTGAGGTGGTTCAGACATGTAGAGAGAATGGAGCGAAACAGAGTGACTTCAAGAGTGTATCAGTCTGTAGTGAAAGGAAGGCGGGGTAGGGGTCGGCCTAGGAAAGGTTGGAGGGAGGGGGTAAAGGAGGTATTGTGTCCGAGGGGCTTGGACTTCCAGAAGGCATGCGTGAGCGTGTTTGATAGGAGTGAATGAAGACAAATAGTTTTTAATACTTGACGTGCTGTTGGAGTGTGAGCAAAGTAACATTTATGATTCAAGTTTGATGGACTGACCACATCGACTCAAGGTTGAGGGACTGATTACCTCATTCTCCTCCTGTTCTTCAAGATTCTCCTTTGTATGGACTGATGAAGCCACTGTGTGGCGAAACGTTTCCTCAATAAAGATACCCAAGAGTTGCACATGTGTCTAATTCATCAACATTTATGAAGGGGTTCATGGGAAACCGGCAGGCCGGACTTGAGTCCTTGAGATGGGAAGTACAGTGCCTGCCCTCTGAAGGAGGGGTGTTAATGTTGCAGTTTAAAAACTGTAGTGTAAAGCACCCTTCTGGCAAGACAGTGATGGAGTGAATGATAGTGAAAGTTTTTCTTTTTCGGGCCACCCTGCCTTGGTGGGAATCGGCCAGTGTGATAATGATAATATAAATTATATTGTTTATGTGGATTTCAGTAAAGCCTTCAGCAGAATACGTCACAAAGGACTCTTAAGAGAAGTGGCAGCACATGGTATAGGAGGTAAAGTTCTAACATGGATCGAGGCACGGCTTACCAATAGAAAGCACTTTCCATTATTTGGGTCAAATCTGAATATGGTGTTCCACAAGGACCAGTTTTAGACCCAATATTGTTCATAATTTATATTAATGACCTTGATGAAGGAATTACAAGTGACATGAAAAAATTTGCTTATGATACAAATAGGCAGAATGTTTGATTCTGGGGAAGACACCAATAAACTCCTGGAGTTCATTGGTATCCTGCCACTTTTCAGTTCAAGACAAATTATTATCTTGGTCTGAAACGTGGCAGATGAAGTTCAGTGCGAACAAGTGTAAAGTCTAATCCTTTGGAAGTAACTAGTGATATGAGCAAATTCGGTGATGACACGAAGATAGGCAGGATAGGTGATTCAGATGAAGATGTCACTGAACTTCTGGAGCATTTTGACAAATTAAAGTCATTGTCAGAAAATGGTAGATGCAGTTCAGTGTAGATATATGCAAAGTCCTGAAGGTCGGGAATGTCCATAATCCTAGTGCTCATAAACCAAATAATGTAAAACTTGGCCATACAGAATGAGTAAAGGACTTGGGAGTCATATTAAGCACAAACCTGAAACAAAGACAACAATGCCTAAGCGTTCGTAATACGGTAAACAGATTGTTGGGATTTACATAAGGCTCTACAAATCATTACAGCTATACAAATCACTAGTAAAGCCTCACTTAGGTTATGAAATACAGTTCTAGTCTCTGTATTACAGAATGAATATAAATTCATTAGAAAATATTCAGCGAAGAATGACAAAATTAATATATAGGATGAAAAATCTTCTTTAATCATCTTAAACATTCTAGTGATCTTAACCGCATTCGCAACATAAACGTCAAGAACAAGAAATTCTCTAGCCCAGTCGTAACATTCCTGCTCACTAAGGTACCTACTACACAAGCCATTAATCTCCTGCGAAGGAGAGTTGACGACTCCCTTGACCTTCCTAGCCAGCGATATCATCGAACTTCTAGAACTGTGTGTTGTCTTTACATGTTTCTCTATTGAAAATCACCTTTTTCAGCAGACTTTTCGACTACCCATGGTTCCCCACTTAGTGCCGTCCTGGCGAGCCTATACATGGAACATCTGGAAGCCTACCGATTTTCCTCTATTATTCCATCTTTGGTCACCTGGCTCCTGGTAGCCGAGCGATTTTCGTCTATTATTCCCATCTTAGGTCACTTGACTTCGTTATGCAGTCTTATCGCTTCAGCGTTCAAGGTCTCCAACACAAGCTCAACCTGGTTGATCCCTTAATCACACTAGAAGAAAAAGTGGACAACACTTTTCCTTTTCTTGACGTTCTTCTGTGCAAAGCTGACAAAGAGCTTCGTTTTGAAGTCTATCAAAAACCTACCAACCAACATGGTCTTCTCCACTTCTACTCTCACATCACACCAAAACCAAACGTGGTGTAATTATAGACTTTTTCCTTAGTGCTCTCCAAATCTGTAACAATGATTTCTTTGAGGAAGAATGTTCTCCCATCGAGCAAATATTTTCTAAACTTCAATGTCCTTGTCACTTCATTAGAGACTGCACACGCCTTGCATATAACATATTTAACTTACCCAAGGAAGACACTGCCTAGAGGAGATACGTAGTTCTCACCACAAACTCCGTTACCATACACGTTTCCATCATCTCTATTATTTCATTACAAGTGTCTACCTCTACATCCATCACCATCTAGTACATCACCAGTAACAATAGACAGGAAAATGTTCAATTCTCTGCAGGGGTATACACAATCCCTTGCAATAATTACAACCAATTATACTTGAGCGAAACATCAAGAGACCTCTATCACGTGTTGCAGAACACTATCACTCAGGCAGATCAGACGATTTAAATAACCCCTGATTTCAAAACCGAAATTTCCACAGCCATTTAGTCACCTATAAACAAAAGAGTTATCGCCAGAGAAGAAAACACTCAGTAGTGCAAAATCTTGGAACCATCACTTATCTGTATATCTAACAGTTTTAACCGGAACAACAGTTTCTATAACACAGCTGAATCGCTTCCCAAGAAACTTCTTCATCGTTATCCTACATAACTACATACTTCCTAACATCCCTGTAATTCTTTTGAGTCTTGAACTTCCAACTGTGACCCCTTGTTGCTGGAACATTCTCTCTCTCTCCACCTTGTCAATTCCTCTCAGTATTTTATATGTAGTTATCATATCCCCCCTATCCCTCCTGTCCTCCAGTGTCGTCAGGTCGATTTCCCATAACCTCTCCTTGTAGGGCATACCCCATAGGTCTGAGACTAGTTTTGTTGCAAACCTTTGCACTTTCTCTAGTTTCCTCACGTGCTTGGCTAGATGTGGGTACCAAACTGATGCCGCATACTCCAATATGAGCCTAACGTACACAGTGTACAGGGTCTTGAACGATTCCTTATTAAGATGGTGGAATGCTGTTCTTAGGTTTGCTAGGCGCCCGCATGCTGCAGCAGTTATTTGGTTGATGTACACCTCAGGAGATGTGCCTGGTGTTATACTCACCCCAAGATCTTCTTCCTTGAGTGAGGTTCGTAGTCTTTGGCCCCCTCGACTGTACTCCGTCTGCGGTCTTCTTTGCCCTTCCCCAATCTTCATGACTTTGCACTTGGTGAGGTTGAACTCCAGGAGCCAATTGCTGGACCAGGCGTATAGCCTGTCCAGATCCCTTTGTAGTTCTTCCTGGTCCTCGTCCGATTGAATTCTCATCAACTTCACATCATCTGCAAACAGGGACACTTTGGAGTCTATTCCTTCCGTCGTGTTGTTCACAAATACCAGAAACAACACCGGTCCTAAGACTGACCCCTGTGGAACCCGTAGTCCGTCACAGGCGCCCACTCTGACACCTCGCCTCGTACCATGACTCGCTGCTGTCTTCCTGTGTGTGTGTGTGTGAGAGATGAGAGAGAGAGAGAGAGAGAGAGAGAGAGGAGAGAGAGAGGAGAGAGAGAGAGAGAGAGAGGAGAGGAGAGAGAGAGAGAGAGAGAGAGAGAGAGAGTTTGTGTGTGTGTCAGATTATGTTTTCAGTGCGGGTCACTGATGGTATAGTTGTGTGTTAGATGGGAGTAACTTGCAGAATAGTTGTATGGAGATTTTGTTTGAAAATTAAGAAAGTCACAATACGGGAAGTTTTTTTTAACATGTAATAAGTAACAGTTCATGTGTAGTGTGTTTATATTTCATATTTTGTGGAGTGAAAGAAGTTAGAATGTTGTGGTTGTTGTCAGAGGAGTGATCACCAAGTCAACTGCTGCTGGTCTCAAAATTAAGCTAATTTTTTCCAGTTTCAGCTCTTGTTGGTTACTTCTTAGGTGTAATTCTGCTCTCAGCAGTAGCTTCGCCAGGGCCACTTTGGCTTCCATCAGGGCAAACCGCATAGCTAAAGAAAAAAAAAATTATGGAATGGGCTGGATGGGGTACAGAAATTTTGTTTTTTTAAAATTAGTATAGGGAAAATAACGATAAAAAAAATATTCTTAAATAAAAATAAGTTATATCAAATACCTATGCAGTTCCTGGGCCCCATCCCAAAGGGCATGTGAGTATAACTGATGATCTTGTCCTTGTTCTCTGGCATGAAGCGGTCTGGATGAAACATCTCCGGCTCTGACCAGTAGCGAGAGTCACGGTGCAGACTCCAGAATGGGATGATCACTAAGTCACCAGGATGCAGAATCACTTTAGTTCCAGGTATTCTGTTATGGTAATATTTTTCTTTTATTTGGTGGTAGGAAATTACATTCAGTTTAACATAAAATTTCACAGATAACCTTGTGCCACTTAATTGAGACAATAATGCTTATAACAGTGATTGTTACAAGTAGTGTTGAAGGAAAGTTATGAGATATTTAGGCTACACTATTATTGTATATCAATGGTATTTATCACTGACAAGATAATGAAATAGACACATGTGCAGCATCTAGGACTCTGTACATGTTTCGTTATCCAGTGGCTTTATTAATACAGTATATGGACATAATATGAAGACTATAGAAATATATTCAGCAAACAGTGGAAGATGAGGTACTCAGTCCCTCAGCCTAGGATTTGGCGAAGAGCACCGTAGTCGTGAAGAATCTGAAGCACAGGCAAGGTTAGATGGCGCTAATATACTGAAATCAAGTGGAGAAGGACGGGTGGCAGACTAAGACATTGTCACTGGTAGGCGGGATTTCCCAGTGGAAGTAGGTCCTACCCTAGGAGTAAGTCAGCAGTAGTAAATATTGTGGATATATCCTCTGAACCAAGATTCCATGATATTGCAGTGTCTGTCACGTTGTACATGAATGGTATGCAATACCGACAAGATGAAAATTAGAAACCTGTGCAACATCTGGGTATTTTTATTGTAGACGTTTCACCAACCAGTGGCTTTATCTATACAAATTCAAGGTCATATTTATATCAGTACAAATTCAGAGGACATATCCACAACCTTCTTTACTACTACTGACCCATCCCTCGGGTATGGCCTACTTCCACGGGGAAATCCTGCCTACCAGTGACGATGCCTTCGTCGACTGCATCTCTTCTGATTCCATTACATACGCACCAATCTTACTGCCTGTGCTTCATATTCTTCAAGGCTACGGTATTCATCACTTGCTCTTAGGCAGAGGAACTGATTACCTTATCTTCCACTGTCTGCTGTATATATTTCTGCAGTCTTCATTAAAAGCCACTGGATGGCGAAACATCTATAGTAAAAGACACCCAGCTGTTACACATGTGTCTAATTGATCAACACTAGCATTGAATGTCATGTGAAAGCGAGAATATTAGTTATTAACTAATTTGTATCAGAGAAGTGTTACTGGTTTTTTAGATGACCTTTATTCAGTCTCTTCCAAAATTTGTTCCTAATTTGTTTAGTTACTCTCATCACCTTGCTCTTCCCTAAGTGTCATCAGCAAAAAGCACATGATTAAACTCCCATTTTGTGGTAGAATCTTTATCTTCCAATCCCGAACCTAACCCAGACACCCCTTCATTCACTTCTCTTACAAACCCATCTATAAATATACTGAGCACCCATGGTGACATCACGCATCCCTGCCTAAGGACTGCTTTTACTGGAAAATGATCTCCATCCCTCCGACATACCCTAACCTGAGCCTTACTATCGTAAGAACTCTTAACTCCTTAATGTAACCTTCCACGTCTTCCATAAAACATTTGTCAGATTCCTACCCTCTCTACTCTCTCATGTCTTTTCCAAATCCATAAATACGTATTACACTTAATTCCTTCAAAAATAAATATCTATATATCTATCTATATATATATATATAAAATATATATATATATATATATATATATATATATATTTTATATATATATCTTTCTATTCAACAACACGGCGTTTTCCACGAGGTGGGGTGACCAAAAGGAAAAACGTAAAGTTTCTCCTTTTACAAATTTAGTAATATATACATGAGAAGGGTTACTAGCCCTTGCTCCGGCATTTTAAGTCGCCCTTCAACAACCATGCTTATGGAGGAAGAAATTCTGTTTCCACTTCCCCATGGAGATAAGAGGAAATAAACAAGATCAAGACTAGAAAATAATAGAAGAAAACCAGAGGGTGTGATATATATGCTTGTACATTTAGTGTTTGTGTGACCTAATGTAAGTAGAGTAGCAAGACTTACCTTAAAATCTTGCATGTGGGAAGAGACAAAAAAAAAAACACCAGCAATCTACCATGTGTTAAAGCATTACAGGTTCAGTTTTACACTCACCTGGCAGGACGGTAGTACCTCCTGGTGGTTGCTGTCTACCCAAACCTAAATACCTATAAATATAAATATATTATATATATTATATATTAATATATATATATATATATAATATATATTATATATATATATATATATACATATATATATATATATATGTATTTATATATATATAATATATATATGTATGTATATATTATATATATATATATATATATATATATATATATATATATAATAATATATATATATATATATTATATATATATATATATAATATATATATATATTAATTATAATATATATATATATATATATTACATATTAAATTTTTATAGATTTTATAATATATATATTTATAATATTTATATTAAAATTTATATTTATACATAATTTATATATTTATTATAATATATATTTATATATAATATATATATATATTAATTATTTATATATATTTATATGTCGAGCCGAATATGTAAAAACTGGTCAATTAGGCAAGAACTCATTTAAAAATTAAGTCCTTCAAAATTTTCTTTTATACGTTTAAGTTATATTTTTTCATCAAAGTTGATGTAAAAATTTTATAATTTTGGACCAAAAGAATCTTAGAAAACTTACCTAACTATATATAACAAGATCAATTTATTTTAGCCTAACCCAACTAAATATATTTTTAGATTTGTTTACAATAATTTAAATTACTAAACAAACACAGTGAAATATTTATATTTTTCCCTTGGTTTCAGAATGATTTTGGCGAAATTATTGCATACACAAATTTTCACTTGTCCTATATGGGAAGTGAGCGTTGCTATTTGCCAAAATCGCAAGTCTGCCATGCGGCACGATATATTATAATATATATATATATATAATATATATATTATATAAAATATATTTATTAATTATATATATATATATATTTATATATCTATATAAAATCTTATAATTATATTTTTATTATCACACAGGCCGATTCCACCATGGCAGGGTGCCCGAAATAGAAAAACTTTCACCATCATTCACTCCATCACTGTCTTGCCAGAAGGGTGCTTTACACTACAGTTTTTAAACTGCAACATTAACACCCCTCCTTCAGAGTGCAGGCCACTGTACTTCCCCTCTCCAGACTCAAGTCCGGCCTGCCGGTTCCCCTGAAAACCCTTCATAAATGTTACTTTGCTCACACTCCAACAACACGTCAAGTATTAAAAACCACTTGTCTCCATCACTCCTATCAAACACGCTCACGCATGCCTGCTGAAGTCAAAGCCCCTCGCACACAAAACCTCCTTTACCCCCTCCCTCCAACCTTTCCTAGGCCGACCCCTACCCCCTTCCTTCCAACAGACTGATACACTCTTTTAAGTCATTCTGTTTCGCTCCATTCTCTCTACATGTCCGAAACCACCTCAACAACCCTTCCTCAGCCCTCTGGACAACAGTTTTGGTAATCCCGCACCTCCTCCTAACTTCCAAACTACGAAATTCTCTGCATTATATTCACACCACACATTGCCCTCAGACATGACATCTCCACTGCCTCCAGCCTTCTCCTCGCTGCAACATTCATCACCCACGCTTCACACCCATATAAGAGCGTTGGTAAAACTATACTCTCATACATTCCCCTCTTTGCCTCAAGGACAAAGTTCTTTGTCTCCACAGACTCCTAAGTGCACCACTCACTCTTTTTCCCTCATCAATCTATGATTCACCTCATCTTTCATAGACCCATCCGCTGACACGTCCACTCCCAAATATCTGAATACGTTCACCTCCTCATACTCTCTCCCTCCAATCTGATATCCAATCTTTCATCACCTAATCTTTTTGTTATCCTCATAACCTTACTCTTTCCTGTATTCACCTTTAATTTTCTTCTTTTGCACACCCTACCAAATTCATCCACCAATCTCTGCAACTTCTCTTCAGAATCTCCCAAGAGCACAGTGTCATCAGCAAAGAGCAGCTGTGACAACTCCCACTTTGTGTGTGATTCTTTATCTTTTAACTCCACGCCTCTTGCCAAGACCCTCGCATTTACTTCTCTTACAACCCCATCTATAAATATATTAAACAACCATGGTGACATCACACATCCTTGTCTAAGGCCTACTTTTACTGGGAAAAAAATTTCCCTCTTTCCTACATACTCTAACTTGAGCCTCACTATCCTCGTAAAAACTCTTCACTGCTTTCAGTAACCTACCTCCTACACCATACACTTGCAACATCTGCCACATTGCCCCCCTATCCACCCTGTCATACGCCTTTTCCAAATCCATAAATGCCACAAAGACCTCTTTAGCCTTATCTAAATACTGTTCACTTATATGTTTCACTGTAAAACCTGGTCCACACAACCCCTACCTTTCCTAAAGCCTCCTTGTTCATCTGCTATCCTATTCTCCGTCTTACTCTTAATTCTTCAATTATAACTCTACCATACACTTTACCAGGTACACTCAACAGACTTATCCCCTATAATTTTTGCACTCTCTTTTATCCCCTTTGCCTTTATACAAAGGAACTATGCATGCTCTCTGCCAATCCCTAGGTACCTTACCCTCTTCCATACATTTATTAAATAATTGCACCAACCACTCCAAAACTATATCCCACCTGCTTTTAACATTTCTATCTTTATCCCATCAATCCCGGCTGCCTTACCCCCTTTCATTTACCTACTGCCTCACGAACTTCCCCCACACTCACAACTGGCTGTTCCTCACTCCTACAAGATGTTATTCCTCCTTGCCCTATACACGAAATCACAGCTTCCCTATCTTCATCAACATTTAACAATTCCTCAAAATATTCCCTCCATCTTCCCAATACCTCTAACTCTCCATTTAATAACTCTCCTCTCCTATTTTTAACTGACAAATCCATTTGTTCTCTAGGCTTTCTTAACTTGTTAATCTCACTCCAAAACTTTTTCTTATTTT